TACTGGTTAAGTCATGTCCACTCCCCCCCCCCCCCCCCCCCCCCCCCCCAAGGCTAGAGAGAGAGATCCAGCAGCTAAAGCAGAGGATCCGGGAGAGCGAGGGCAGCCCGCGGAGCCGGCACAGCAGCGGGGACGAGAAGGCTGGCCTGGGCACATCCCCGGTCAGCCCCGGGAGACCTGGCATGCTGCCCATCGCCGACGACAGGTGGGCGGCCGGACGCGGACGGGGGGGTGAAGCCTGGAGGGGGGGCCCCCTTTTCTGCCCAGACCCCAAACTATTTGAAAATCCATAAACCCGCCAACATACACATTCGGTTTAATTTCACAGCTACTTGGGAGCCTCTGATCTCGCAGAGATATTTCACTATTTGAGTCTAATAGATGGTTTTGGGAGGAAAAGCATTTAACAGCCAGCAAACAGCAAGAAAGTCTCCAGTGTCAGCCCATGCCAAATAATTAAAATTGCCTTTCAAATGAGAGGATAGAGCCTTCCGGTGTACATTTGAATACAAACCTAATTGCTTTGCTTTGCTCTTCTCCTCTGTAAATATCATTAAAAAGAAATGTGCTTTTTTGTTTTTTTTTTCCCTTCCCTTCCTACTTCTAACGCGGTAATAGAATTACAAATGTATGGTGGTGTTTTCCTTGTGGTTTGATGGCTGTCCCTCTTCTGTGGGCAGGATCAGCGCATACATCGAGGAGGAGGTACAGAGGAGGCTGCACAAGATGAATCTCTTCAATGGTGGGGCCGGCATCGAGCTCTCGCTCCCCTGCGAAGCCCTGAAGGTGTGTCTGCCCGCCGGCTTCGGTGTCGCCGTACCTTTAAGGTCCAGCCCAAGGCCAGGAAGGACCCGTGAAGATTTGATCCGGTTATAAAGCGGGTCTCCAATGGCTCTGGAGGGGACGGGTTTGCAGGCATAAAAGAAAGCGGAGTGGATCGCACCTCGGTTAAGCAGGCCGTCCTTGGAGGGAAGAGCAGCACTGCCGAGTTTAATCACACGGGGGCATAATTCATTCTCTTTCAGCTGATCATGCAGAACATTGGGTTCCTGGGAGCCAGAAATTAAACTGAGGGTTGAAATAGAAAGTAGTTTGTGGCTTTTTCTGGGTTATGCTGCCCGCTTGTGTGTTACATGAATAATAATCGTAGTCAGGTCAGCACCACCTACCATTGTCCCAACGACCCGCTAGGTCGTCCATTCTAGCCTCAGGAAATGTAATTGCAGAATGTGGGGAGCGTTTAATGGCGTGAACTGTGTTTCTGTATCTGTGACCCTTCTCTCCCTCAACCACCAGCCCCCCCTTTTGGGCGCAAAGTTGTTTGAGTTTGCCAGGTTGTCAATATAATGCCCTGTCTCTCGGACTGTACCATAATAATGGGGGGGTAGGTTGCCAGGGAAAGTGACCCTTCTCCTGTTCTGCAGGGGGGACAGGCATCTAATAGTGAGTGTAGAGAGACAGACGAGGTAAGTAGGAGGGGGGATCTGGTCTTGGGGGGCGCAGGCTTATAAAGCATGGATCACAACTGCATGTGCTGCCTACCCCCGGCCCGGATGGAAGGTCTCGCTCATCCTGGGGCTGCGCTTGTCGCAATGTGCATAACAGCCCAGTTTGCCCTCCCCTGCCCTGGTTAGAGAAGGAGCAGCCAATCAGGTGGCTGTTAGTAATGGCTGCTTTGCGTTGATCCGGCCTGGAGTTTATGGCCCAATGTGATTTGTTGGTGGTTATTGTTATCATTTTGATTGCTGGGCTAAGAGTACCCCTCTCTTTCCCTCTCTCCCCCTTTTTCTCCCTTTCTCTCTCTCTCTCTCTCTCCCCCCCCGCCCCACATACAGGAAGAGGAGAAACCTCAAAACGGGATTGATCTGCGTAAGCTGAAGTATGAGGTAAGCTCTGTAGCTGATGGGCTTTTCCCCCCCCCAGAGGAAGAGGTGTGGTGGGTGAAGGAAGTATTAATTATTGGTGATGATGAGGCAGTGCAGTCTAAACCTCCCAGTCCTGCCTGCACTGAATCTCCGCATGCCTCAATCTTGGGCCAGTATCATGCACGTTCCACAGTTTTGTCCCTCCACCCAATCACATGTCTATCCAGAGTTACTTGTGGTGTTTTTCATTAATATTTTCCTGGAGAGCTACAATACTGAAAGGTACAACAGCTGAGTTCTTCCTGGTGAAGTGGCAGGTTCCTGGCCCGTGTCGTTCACCTACGGTTGTTACCCTCCTCCGACCTTCACACAGACCTCAGCTCATATGGGTCACCCTCTTCCCTTACCAGTCCCCTGAACAAAGCCAGGGTCTTTTATTAGAGTGAACTCTAGCAGTAAAACCCTCACCTCCCCCCCCCCCCCCCAGCCTTTGCATCACCACAGGTAGCAGAGGCTGTAGACTGCATCCAAGCTGGCTGGGGTTATGCTGGTTGACTCCAAACTGTTTAATGTCAATGCTTATCGCCATTTACCAAGTAACAGTCTGGTATGGGAGACTCTGATAACAAGGAGCATTAAATCCTTTCCGCCCCCCCCCCCCCCCCCCTGCAGGGAGCAGGACTCTGGCGTGAATAATAAGAGTCGCTGACGTGTAACCCATAATCCATCACCGTAATCACAAATGCTGAGGTTTGTTTGTATACACCAGATTTCATTAAAAAAATAAATTAAGGGAAAGGGTGAGGGTCAGGTACTAGCAGGATAGATGGATGATCCTGGCTCCGTTCCACACTTCATTTTGGCCCCATCCATCCACCCCGTGGGCTTTATAGGCATGTCCTCCCAAAAGCGCGTTCTGATTGGTTACCTCGCAGCTTTGCAATGCCCTTCGACATTCTGTTTATTTTCATTTTATTCGTAGAAGTGTGTCGTGTTCCGCAATCACGAGGCAATCACGGACAGGCAGATTTTAAGGGTGTAATTGTTGTGTGTTTCTTATCTTGTTTGTTCTAGTTTCTCAAAATTAGTAACTGCATGGAAAGCCCTAGAAAAACAGATGTTATAATACTTATTTTTTTATGTTGTTCAGCTTCTCCCTCTTCTTGTCTGTGATCTATAGCAGCTTTTTTTTCGAGAAAAAAAAAAGAAATCGAAGGCATGGAAATTTAGGCATGCTGGGTGCAAACAGATGATGATGTAGTGGTGTAAATTAAATCGCTCTTATTTTTTTTATGGCCGCTGTTTATAGGATGATTTTTTTTTCCCTTTCCAGAAACACTTTCCTTAATGGCCATTTTGCAGCTGTAAAATACTGGTCTCATGGAAAGTACGTAATTATGAGAAAATGTGAAGGAATTTCAGTAAAAGAAACAGTAAAAGGGTAAAATGGCCTAAAACTTGGTTGCCGGTAACTTTTTTACCAAAAAAAGAAAAGAAACTCTGCAAAATAAGTTACACAGTGGTGATTAAATTAGGCAAATTTCTTGCGGAGTGAAATGTTAGAAAAGCGGTTACAGAAGTCGCCTCTCACCTTTTTGTCAGCTAGAGACGGAGTCCGAGGCTCGGCGGGGACGTCAAAGGGAGTGATTTATGGCTTCTCCTTCGGGAGGCCCGATAAGCGGGACGGATGTCGCTCGCTCGCCCCTGACTGTCATCAGCTAGGTTCTCGGGGGACCAAACTCTCGGAGGGGGGACCTGAAGTTGTCCCCTGCGTCAAGGGTCTTGTCGTTTTCTGCAAACCATGGTCGGCTGCTTTGAAGTGATACGCGGCCAAGCGTTGAAAACACAAAATAATCTTGCTGGAGCGTTGCCCAGAATGCACAGTACGTCCCTCCGGTATCCACGCGCAAGCAGAAGTAGCCATATTTTGCGCTAATGCCCAGTTATTGAATTGCATTTTTATTTCCTTGCGTAGGTAATCCTTAAAAGGCTGCGTCTTTCTAAACATCAACGGGGGGGGGGGGGGGGAGTTAAATTGGATACAATTTTATCCTTTTATCTCCTCTTCAAGCATTAATTTCCCCCTTCTGAAATTATTTCCTCTTCAGTTAATCTCTGTCTCGATTTGTATTCCTTAAACTTGTCCTCAAATATTGTGTGATTCTCATAACCGTAGTGGACGGTTAAAGAAAAGAATTATCGCTTCAAAGTATCTAAATTCTGATCCATATAATGATGATTGCTGAAGAATTATACATAAATAATAAATACTGGTTAAGTCATGTCCACTCCCCCCCCCCCCCGACAAACTCCATCCATCCATTTTTCTACACAGAGAAGACCTGAATGTTTGCCACACCCTAGCTTCCTGCATCCTCTCGAACTGGAGCCTGCTCTGTTTCTGGACTGTAATATGGGACAGAGCTCTGAAGAACGAGGAGAGAAGTGGCACTTTAAGGAGCCTTGTTGTCTGGAGGACTGTGACAAGGGAGAGGGTCACATTGGCAGAGACTGGGGATCTACAGTGCAATTCCATGCTGACCAGGAAGGTGCAGATTTTGCTCCTCATAAATCAAGGAAGTGCAGGGCGGTGGGGAAGCGGAGAGAGGGAACACGCCCGGATGGCTCTTGTCAGATTGGGGGTGGGTCTGGGGATGATGGCGCTGAGATGCCAGCTAACAAGGGCCCCCACGTCTGCAGTGGCTCCCATCCCGGACCTGGGGGGACCTTATTAGATCGGGCCTCCATCTCACTCGTCTTTCAGCCCACGGAGGAGCCGTGAATTTGACAATGCCCTCTAGGGCCAGCGCTCGACCTGGAATCCACTCGCAGAGAACCCGTCGAAGGAGGGAATACATATGCAGTCGCATCTCCATTGTGAGATCCGCTGCAAAGGACCAATGAGTTGCCTTCTAAAGCCTGACCTGCGCCCCAGAATCTCACGGCAGGCTGTTATGACCTGCCGACCTTGGCAAGTAGATTGTCCTGGATGTTGAAAGACGCCGCAGATTGTCTGGAGAGTCCTCGCAGGGTCTTCCGACAGGCCAGACTTCCAACAAGGAAGCAGCTGGCTCAACCAAATGTGCTCCGCTATCAAGGAGCTACTGTTGATACATCGCATACAGCTTGGAGTGACCTTCAAACCAGACGATTGCGAGAGGGGCGGTTCTGCAGATGTACCCACTCTTTCCCCTTCCCTTGTTGTGGAGTCGGCCTTGACTCTCTCAGGGGAGACTGGGTCCTTGCAGAGCTCTGCAGTTAAATATCAAAGGGATGGCATTCAGGTGTTTTGCCGGAGGCTTGTGGAGTTTCCTGAAGACCTGCAGCAGCTGCAGTCCCTCTCTCTCTTGCTGGACTCTGTGATACCTCAAGAGGTATTCTCCTCCCATAAGGCACTCTATGTGTTCTGGCTCATGGATAGCAATAGTTTACATTCTTCCCCACAGCCTGCCCTCTTACAATTTGTTTGAATGTATTTTGTATGTGTTGACTTACGGTAGTCGTAGCAACCGATCACCTTTGACCAGATTTCACCAGCTACCCTTGCAACAGCTTAACGAGATCAATGTGGGCTTTGCCGGCCAGAGCGCCCAGTTCTCGGACTCCACAGAGGATGGAGTCAAGATACATGGACCATCCCTTCTCCAGGAGGACCTGCTGCAGCTGTCTTTAGACCTCCTATTGGATGACGGGTGTCGCCTCAGCTGCCAATTGAAAAATAACTTGGCCGACCTTGTCTACCTTATCCATGGCAACATGGGTCAAGACCAGCCCTACCATGCTGACATTCAGCTACTCTTATACACCAGCGTGAGGGCATTGGTGACCCTCTGCTCATGCCCAAATGCTCTCTGCCAGTTTATTCACACAAAGACACTTGTGTGTCTGGTCCAGGAGGTGCCCCAGTGCCCCAGCATGCCCGCATCAAGGGGATTACCGTTCGCCGGCACTCGGATGTCCGTTGCTTGACCGCCAAGGATGCACCTGACAGACTGGACATTATCTTTTCCCGGGGAAAAGATAGACGCAGGAGTCACCCTGAGCTGCGGGTCCAGCAGGAATCCTGCTTGGCAGTTGTCCCGTTTCCCCAGGTTGTAATTCATCCCTTCAGTCTGAAGTGTGGAAATTAACTTTCGCCTGTGCTGCTGAGGCCCAGCTTCTTCATTTATAACTCAAATGTCTGATCAAAGAACTCAGTACCTCGTAATTAATACCAACTAAAAAAATAGGGGGTTGAGACTGAGCACAGATTTCTTAAATTATAATGTAATAAAGAGTATATCTATAAATATATTTGGTCAAGCTACCTATGTTTATTGAAATCATAGTAGTCCCGCAGTTATGGATTTCCTCCTTTTATCTTCTGTTTTCAGGCTTTTAAAAAATGATTTGATCATTTATTCAATGTTGTGTGGATCTGTTTCCATTGTTTTGGTAACTGGGTGTAATGTAATGGTCAGTTCTCACCTAACCTTTTCTTATCTGTTTAATTTTGAATACATGCCTTGTTCACATTGTCGACGAATTAGGAGGAGCTGCGTTGTCTCGCTCCCCGGAGCCTGATTTTTGCCAGTAGGAGAGGAGTTCTTGCACCATCCTCTGTCTGATTAGGCTCTAGCAGAGATTCCCCAGCTGGACTTCTCTGTTTGTGTTTGTCTTCTCTCCAGAGAAGATCAGGCCCGAAACGCTGGTTCCGAATCGCTTTGTTTTGTTAACATTGGAGTGGAGATCACTTAGTTAATAGTCTTTCTATTTAAAAAAGAACAGCCATTACATCAAAATGGTTGTGCTGTGACATAAGGAATGAGTATAACGTAGCATAACGAGACAGTGTCTTACTGTTTTTATTTCGTACTACTATATAGCAAGAGTAAAGTAAACTAAACTGGGACAATCATGACATGGCTTTATTCTGTAGGTAAAATAATTTCCAGGTCTTTACCCTTAAATACGGTTTTGTGACTGCTGTTGGCTTTAAGCATTTTTGCTTGGCTTTTTATCATCTACTTCATTTGAGCTATTTGACAGAATGGTAACTTTTGGTTTCTTTGTATGAAACCGTAGTGAAGCATAACCTCAGTTTGCTTTTCCAGACTTGCTTACATACGTCTCTTGTTGCATCATCAGAATAACTGAATTTGGCAGGAAAACTGGGTTATTTAATTATATTTTAAATTTTTTTTAACATTGATTTGGGGTTTATCTCAAAAGCAACAGAATGGTTTATTCGGATTTTCCCATTAAAATTCAGCTGATAAATGTCTATTAACATATGATAATTATCAACGGAGGCTTATCAAGCATTGATGTAGCACGTCACATGCACAGTCTTGATTCTGTAAAAAGTGTGGCTTTATCTCATGAAATCCCTGACTGCAATATTACCTGGAGCAAACAGCCTGATGCCACTGAGACTGTGATTTGATCTGACAGCAGACGTTGTGCTTTGGAAATTAAACTCATGGGACAGTTTGAATATTTTGACCATGACGGGACACGGTTGGAATAATGACAGCAATGTTTGATGCGTATGGATGAGCGATCACAGTCCGTGTCTTGCGTGTCACGGATGCTGCATACAGTAAGACAAATCTAATCAATTTTTCTGCTAGAGAAATTTGATGCAGTGGCTGTACTTGTTTAATCCCTCTCAGCGTTTCCCGGAGCTCCACAGGATGCTCTGGCCAAGGCTTTCCACTTTAGATGCGGAATCGCGGGCTTCCAACCGTCGGCCTGTCGTTCTGATCAAAGCTGCATCCGGCCGCCGATGTCCGCCGACACGTTCATGTTTAATGCATATGCTGTTTGGATTCGGGGGTGGGGGGGGTTGGTGTCAGACACATCGGTTCCCAGGGTGTCAGTGAGTTCATGCTCTCTGGTCTTTTACGTAGGTTGGATGTCTAACTTATTATACTTAATAACAATAATAATAATAGGTACCGTCAGGTGAACACTGACTCCTGGTGACCATATAGATGGAATTATAGAATATTCTGTCTTTCTGGACCAGCAGGCTTCAGAATGGCACGTCCATTATGACGATTGACCCCCACCCACCTGGATTTTCTTCCTCTTTTACCCTTAACAGCTCTCCAAACCTAACGGCCCAGTGCAGTAAGACTGCATCAGTCTAGTCATTTAAACTAAAAGTGAAAGTTCAAGAACTTTCTCATTCTTCTCAAATTTAATGGTTACCACCGGCTTATGTGGCAGTAGAGACCTTACTAGGGATTTTCAAAACAAGCAACTCTGAAAAATACGCTCAATATTCCTGGTCCCTGATGGACAAGTAGAGTCTATTTATACATAAACTGCCATTGTTTGAATAACCTTGGGTAGTTTTCGGGAAACACTGGTCGATTGCAGTGTTTACCCTCTTTGCCGTATTTGTGTATGTTTGCATCTCCTAAGCATCTGTGTACTTGCTGCATGTTTCTCCTATATAGCGCCTCATTTCCCGCTCTCTCGGACCCTGCCGAGTGGATATGAAGAACCCGGTGAAGATCAGCATTCCTCGCTATGTTCTGCGCGGTCAAGGCAAAGACGAGCACTACGAGTTCGAGGTCAAGGTGAGTGGCTTCTCAAAGCTCTCCCATCATCAAGGAAAAAGACCCACACACACTTGATGCACGTTACCGGATCTCTGCCATCTTTATTTCATATGAATTCTCATTGCTGATGAGCATCAGGAGGTGGGTAGACCTGCAGTCGAGAGGCAAAGTGCTCAAGGCCGGTTCAGACCTCTAGGCCTGTCCAGAATGAGTGCCTCTGTCCAGCGCTGAAATCACAGGGTTCCATACCATGCGGTCAGTTCCCGCTGCTCTGTGAGGTGTGAGGGAGAGCGCTCCTCTGAATGGAGCTGAGGTACCTTTCTGAGAAATCAAATTATTTTATCTCCGGAAAAAGCCCCCACTGTGTAAAAGGTTCCCTTCTCTTTCCAATATACTTTCCTGGGTTGACGACATTTAATTAGCGTTTGTGTCACCGGCTGTGAATCTTGTCATCTCAGGCAGTTGAATTAAAAAAAGATGAGAAGTCATAATTTAATGCCGTCATTTTCAAAAGCGCGGCCGGCACAGATGTGTAGCCTAGAGATTGGATTTATGTTTTAATTCTTCTTCTTTTTTTGTCACTCCGCTTCTGGAGTTCAAAAATGATATCACGGCTAATATAGTACAAATATTTCCACTGATTATTTAACGGTGCTTAATTCGGAGATGGGCAGGGAAAGGAGACCCATTCCCCCGGCTCTTGGCCGATAACGGCACCATAATTAAAAACACACACTTTTGATTTATCCGGGCTTGTGAAGCACATCCTCCCCCCCCCACCCCCCCCCTTCTCACAGGCACGGACCACGCAATGCACATGTTTTATTTTTAATGGGGGAAATGTTCCTTTTCGTATTGTTAAACACACTCCTGCACGTTCAGCCTGCACAGTTTAAATGTCTGCCTCATTAACCAGATGCGGCTCTTTTTATATATATATATATATATATATATATATATATAGGTGTCACAGGTCAACGTTTCCACCTCCCTGTGGGGCTCAGGTACCCTGTTTCGGGCGGGTGTTTGGTTTGTAGGAGCTCAGTCTGGCTTTCATCGCTTATTTTTGTACAGAAATCCAGCACCCATATACCAAGGACACAAAGCACATTGAAAGGAAGTCTCTTTTTGGAAAGGGTTTATACGTATTCATAAAATAACGCTGAATAGTCTCCCCATACATGCTGTTTCACGGTTATATGTATTCGCCCTTTCATATAGGGTAAAAGTTAAGAAAGTAACTTTTCCTTTGTCTTTTTATGAGGATGAAGTCCTGTATTAGCTGGTTTGTTGATGTCTGTTTTTGTTGCATAATCTCCTCTTTAACATGCATTTGGTCTCATCCATGCATTCTGTTTGTGTTCATTTTCAAACTGCCACTTCCGGGCGGCCTTGGAACACAGAGGCGGTTTGCCGAAAAGAGGCTGCCAGTCAGCCTGTATCCTGTTCCCCTGCTCTAATAGATCACAGTCCTGGACGAGACGTGGGCGGTGTTCAGGAGATACAGCCGCTTCCGCGAAATGCACAAGACCCTGAAGATGAAATATCCTGAGGTGAGCCTTTAGATTCTACGTGCCTGTTATTGCTGCGGTTTATTTGTTTGATATCCGTATTCGGTGCGCGCTTTGTTTTGGTCCAATTTTTCCAGCCGTTGCTCCAGTCGTGCTTTCAACCATTTTAGCCGTTTGCCCCTAGTGGTTTGTATGTAGGCCAATCGCATATCCATTTTCTTGGAATTCACTTCTAATCTTGTAAATGGAAAAGCAGTTTTCCCAGGTCAGGTTTCGATATCCTCAGGCCCATTACTGTTACTGTTATTCCATTTTACCAGAGGTGGAAAGTTCAGATCCATAAAGTACAAATCCAGACCAAGTATTTGTTTCAACCAACCAGTTGAGTATAAGGAGCCACAGTCAGTCTGGCTGATTGAAACAAAACCTTGGTCTGGATTTGTTCTTTATGGACCTGAACTCTCCACCTCTACATTTCACTAATGTTATTACTGTACTGTAATTTAGACATTTTTATCCAAAGCCATATACATTTTTCTGAGAAAGCAGAGTCAGACAGTCCTTGGAACATTTGGGGGTTAAGGGTCTTGGTCAGGGGTCATACAGTAAAATCGCTGTTCCGACACTGGGATTTGAACCAGCAACCTCCTGATTACAGGCATGGCATCCTAACCCAGTGAGCCACACAGTGTCCTTTATCCTGTAATATAACTGGCCTTTGAAATCCCTCCAGCCTGACTTCAGATGGTTTCCTATGTATTTTAAATGTGACGACGACATTATTCCCCCAAGTTGGCTGAGCTGTGCCACCGGAACGTGGACCGATTAAGGGAGAAACAGTGAGGATGCTTATAATGGTCTCTCGTCACTTTAATGTCACCAGGCCAACTAGGGTCACACGCTCTGCCAGGCCTCGGCTTACCAGGGACCCCAGAAGCACAGAAACAGCACCGCAGGTCGAGAAGATAATTAGCCTTTTCACAGGAACTTTTTTGCACATTCTCTAATCCTCTTGAGTGATCTTCTTCCTGGTCCCCTTTATCACCCAGACTTCTGTGCGGAGCGGGAAGATAACGAACCGGAGTATGTAATGGGTCCTCTGCCAATCATTATCCGACATGTTTACAGCATCTCCATCTGCTGCCGTTAATAAGCTCGTATTACTCCTTGCCCAAGCTCCTGCGAACTGCCCCGCTCGCTCCCATCTTGCTGGCGTATTCGCTGTCGATACGGGAGGTTAAATGGGAGCCCCCATGATCTCACTCACCCTCCAGTCTGCAGGTTCTGTCCTCTGTTCCCAGCCCAAATGGCTCCCACGAGGGAATGGGGGCCGTCTTGACCTCCTGGGGGGCTGTCTTGGAGTCGGCGGCCCGGCTGGGGGAACTGAGCGACACAGATAGCACTGCAGTGAGTGAGGAGTCATTGGTGGAGGGGGCACAATGTGATGGTGCCACTCTGGGACCAGCCAGGGACTCTGAGGTTATAGGTCTGTGTTTTTGGCGACAGCGTCGTTAATGTTCCGGGTGGTTCCTGCGTGCATGTTACCTGCAGGGCCCTTTAACGCCCCACATGTGACATGCGCCAGGCTCTCTGGTGCCTCACGCTGGCCCCATTGTGGCATCCTGTCTTGTCTCCTCCTCTGAGCCCCCAGCTTTTAACAGGCTTTATCTGCCCCCCACCCCCGGCCCCCCCTTTCATGGTTAACAAAGTTTGCTGTGAGATGGAGGGGGACTGAGTGCTGGGAAGGCGGGGTTCTCCCGGACTCGCCGCCCTGTGACTGATGCCGGCCATAAGTGAGCCTGACTCTGACAGGCGGCAACAACTCATTACCTGTATTTCAGGATGAATGAGACGTGTCACTTACCGCCGCAGGCTGGGAATTATCTCCCTACTCCAGCTCTCAGCCCAGGACAGCCTCCCCGCTCCCCGAATACGCATTATTCTACAGACGGTTATTAAAATCACGGGATGAGCAGTTCACGGCACGGTGAGGAGCACGTTCCCTGGGGGAGGTACTACGGGAGAGGCGTTTTCGGGGGGGTACGGGGTGCCGGTTCCCCGCTCAGGCCTCCTGTCTGTCATTTCGAGACTTAGGAAGATAACTCTATATATACATGACTAAGTATAGTGTGTATATACACATGCACACGTAAGCATGAATCCAGGTACACTGGAGTGTGTGTGTGTGTGTGTGTGTGTGTGTGTGTGTGTGTGTCAGCCAAACATGGGATTCGAACCATCAGCCTTCCTATCACAGGCACAGAGGCTGAATCCACTGAGGCACGAAGATATGATGGACACACACACACACACACACACACACACATATACGTATATACATACATATATATATTACACCTACAGGAACTTTCATGGCATCCCATTCTAAATCCATAGGCATTAATATGGAGCTGGTCCCCCCTTTGCAGCTATAACAGCTGCCACTCTTCTGGGAAGGCTTTCCAGAAAATTTTGTCTGTGGGAATTTTTGCCCAGAAGAGCATTTGTGAGGCGCTGATGTTGGACGTGAAGGCTTGGCTCACAGTCTGCATTCCATTTCATCCCAATGGTGTCCAGTGCGGTTGAGGCTTAGGGTTCTGTGTGGGCCAGTCAAGTTCTTCCACACCCAACTCCCACAGCCATGTCTTTGTGCACTGGGGCACAGTCATACTGGAACTGGAAAGGACCTTCCCCAAACTGTTCCCACAAAGTTGGAAGCTTAGAATTGTCCAAAATGTCTTGCTATGCTGAAGCGTTAAGATTTCCCTTCACTGGAATTAAGGGGTCTAGCTAAACTCCTGCAAAATAACCACATACCATTATTCCTCCTCCACCAAACTACAGTTGGCACAGTGCAGTCAGGCAGGTAACATTCTCCTGGCATTTGTCAAACCCAGACTCGTCCATTAGACTGTCTGACAGAGAAGTGAGATTCATCACTCCACAGAACACATTTCCACCACTCCAAAGTCCAGTGGTGGCGCTTTACGCCACTGCATCTAAGGCTTTGTGCTTGGTGATGTGAGGCTTGCATACAGCTGCTCGGCCATGGAAGCATATTGCAGGAATCTCCTGGTGCACAAGTTTGTAAATTATATTATCTATAGTAAAATTTCATAATAAATATATCAATTGTGAGGCAGGTGAATGCATGGATACAATTTTTTTGCTTGAGAAAATTAAATATTTCGAGAAGAGAAAAATGATTCTTGAAAAGCAAGTGTTCTTGCCTCGTTCTCCTTAATTATAGCATGATGCGCATATCCACAACATAATTTCTGTGCGGTTAAATCTTTGGCCTGCCTTTCTAACAACAAAAGGAATAGATTTTGTTAATTGTTTGGCTGCAGTGTTTCCAAGCTAATTTTTGAAGCCCATTATGCTCAGAACAAAGGCATGAATCCTTATTAGTTAAGGTTGAGGGTTTAAGTTTTATTTTTAGCTCATTATATGCTAAACAAAATAAATGCGATAAACCCTCGGTGTAAAATAACGTAACTGTTAATTCGCGAAAAGCTGCAATTCAGTCATTTATCTTTTGCTTATGTTTAGCGGTTATGGAAACAACATGGTGTGAAACACATGGAGTCCTTTGGGCTGTAAACTCGAGAAGACAGTATTTTCCAAAAAAAAATTCAAATCATTTAGCAGTTGTAAGTACGGGTATCAAAAAAAATTCTAGAATCTTCCAGATGATTTTTGACTTGGGGAGTAATAGTATAAACCAGGGTTCTTCAAATCTGGACCTCGATTCCAAATCCAGGCCTTGTTTTCAGTTCTCCCAGGTAGTTAGTTTAATAATGACTGATTCTGATTGGTCGTGCTCGGACCTCGAGCACCGTAATTTGAATAACCCTGGTGTAAACCCTTGGATTTATTCTCTCTGGCATCACTGCTCACTCTGCCATGGTTTCATGACGTACCAGAACAGGACTAACATCATGGTTGCATGATTGGAACAGATGGTACTGTAGTAGCCCTGCACCTCAGCTCTTCTAAGGTGTGCTGTCATCGACATTAGTTGTTTTGGTTTGACAGCTTACGCCAGGGCAACCAATGTCATCTTGGTTTGGTTACATTCTGAGGCTTTTATTAACTTATTTATTTTGGGGAGGGAAAAGGTATGACTGACAGAATGGGCCCACCCCCGAATGGGATGTGAGCATCTCCAGCTCAATAGGAAGAGTTGCGATTAAGCTGTTTGATGTCCACAGGTGGGCTATCAGGCTCTGAGGTTCTCCTCAAACTTCTCACGAATGATGTTGCCCTTTACAGCCCTTCTGAGGTTCTTCTCAGGTGCTGTTATCTTGCATTATTAATCGCCAGAGAAACAAATTCTAAATCCCCCGTGCAAATAAGCAGATAGTGAAGGATGATCGTTTAGGGATCCGGTCTCTGTCATGGAAAATAGATGAAACGTTCCCCCATTTCTCTGTCTTTAATCCTTCTTGTGTATGTCTGTGTGTGTATGTGTGTATTAGTGTGTCTGTGTGCATCAACCATTTATGTTGATTTTCTTGCTTTTCTTATTTCTTTATTTTTTTTTGTCTTGGGCCTTGTGGCAAGGACATATTTTGAAGGAAAAAGCACGGCGTGTGAAAATGGGCCCTTCAAAGTGCCGTAGCGCCTTCCAATTCATTTTGCTCGAAACTGGCAATGTCGTCCGTCTCCTTTTTTTTTTAACTTCCCAATTTTCTCCTCTGTTATTTCCCTTTAATGAAAGCCGGCCCGTGCCAGCAGAAGCCGTTTTTATCGGATCCTCTGATGGAATTTGTCCTGGGCCCTGCCTCAAAGGGGACTCGCACAATGGACCCCCAATGTCACTCATAGAAGCCTGTTCTGCTGTGTCTCAGTTCCCTTCACAGAGAAAATTTATCATATTAAAATATAATTAACAGACAAAACCGTCCTTCCCTTTTCACGAAAGAAGCAGCTCATCAAGATTTTTGTTCAAGGTTGACAGGCCTTAGAAAATCCAATTTTACTACCTGCCCTTAGTGGTTTTCCAATTAACACAAAAACAAGGTATTTACATGTTAAGATTTACATGACCTGAAACTGGTCTAGATGGACCAGATGGACAAGCAATTAAACCCCCCGCCCCTAAAAGGGAAATAAGGGTGGTCAATGTGTTTTCAGGTACCGGCAGCACTGAATGGTCTCAGGGGAACGGCAGTCTACTTTCGGGTAATCATTCTGCAGAGGCGGCTATGATAAAGATGTTTTGTCTAAGAGGTTGTCTTGTGGGAGTGGTGGTTGTAGATGATGGAACGGCACCCAGTAAGTTTTCATTTCTTCTGATCAGCTCTCTTCGCCCTCTAAGAGGAGTTCGAGTCACCTGTAGCACCGAGCCTGGTTCATTAGGGGGCAGTGTTGTGGCTGTTGGCGAAGGCCAACCTCAGATCCTGTGGAACTGTCACATGTGCTCATATTGTCCTCACAAGTTTCCTTTCAATCCTCATGCGTGAACCAGAAAATTCTTAGCCGACAGCAAATACAGTAGCTGAATTTGAAACTGCAGACAAATACTAAATAATTTTGGAGTTATTTTTTTCTTTTTGCCCCTCAACATTGATGTCTTTTTTCCTGTTTACTTACATTGTAATACTCCTACTAACTTGAAAGAACGGCTTAATCCTCCTGAAAGCGCCTCAAACATCTTCCTGCTTCCCTGTTCTGTGTGGGTGCACCTTTTGTGTGCCTTTGTCTGGCCCGCAATGAAGAAACTCTGATGAAAGGCACGACAGTATTTAATTTTCGTCTCCATTTACTTATTAAAAACAAGCACTAATTAGAGCATCTTAGCTTAAAGCAGCTTGTGTTTGTTTCCTAGTTTTTTTTTCCCCTGTTCTCAACCAGTGAGTAATTGAAGGTAAGTAGATAAAAGGCTTTAGTAAGTAAACATTGTGCTTCAAAAAATAATGAACTTTGGAGGAGGGACAATGGGTGAATGCATCACTATATTGAAAAATATTGCAAATGTGACAGGGTACCTTGAATGGGTTGGGTCAGCCAAAAAGCATAGCGTCAAGATGAACGCAGAAGCTCTTCTGGCTTAATGAAAACATATTCTACACACTGTTGGCGTCAATTTAGGCAACCTGCCCCTTGTTTGATGTTAGACACCTACGGGTCGTGGTCTTTGATAGCGTCGAGGCTACTTCGTTTTCAGGGGACACACTAGGTGTCGCTCTTGTGGACAACAGTCGTCTACCGGACGTTCTGGAAAACCAGGCAAGAGTGACAAGAAAAGGCCTCCAGAGATGGAGACATCTCTGCACAAGTTTGTAAATTATATTTTCCTTTCACTTGAATCCTGGCTTGCCGTTTTTCCCACCTCCATTTGATCCTTTTTAGCTAAGACCGCAGGATTCGGAGGTAACAAAATCCGGCCTCCTCAAGTGTCTTGCCGCGTATCGCCGCACTTCTTACGGTAAGATCGGCCACTCAAGTTAATTAGTGCAGCTTTCTGCCTGGAAGCACGGCCGTATTTTGCCCTGTAACTGACTATCATGCTCATTCACGCTCTTTTATCCACGGAATGGTTCTTTTTATCCCAGCTAAATTGAAAACGGTTTTATTTAGATATTATTTATAATCCATCTGCCTGCTCGGCCGCGACAGCAGTGCGGAGGGTCTCGTACCCCTTCCAGTGCCTGGGAACATTCACCGACTGACAAAGGATACTGGTCACGATAGGTCTGTTGGTGACACACGAGCTGATAAGCAGAGGTACTGGAACATACTTTATGGAACTGGTGCCACCTGGAACTACATGAACGTGATCCAATGGAAGAAAGTTTTTCTTGACTGTCCTACCCCCCCCTCACCCCCCCCAGCAGCACCGCTACCGCCCAACTCCCTCCGGCTTTAATATGACAGCATTAATCACACCGCCAAAGCTAAGTGTTACTTCAGGCGACGCAGTGTTATAAATTGCACAGGAAAATGCATAATTAGCTCGCAACAGATTTCTTTTACAGCTTTGCTCCTCCGAGTCACGCGGCTTTTCTTAGGGTTGCCGCATAATGAGAGCGTCTTCTCACAAATGGCACGCGAGTAACGGGGTCATCGCTACTTTTAAAGTCAAACCAGTCCCAACTAGCTGTCGTCTTGAGCCGGCCCCCATCGCCGGCCCCCATCGCCGGCCCCCATCCCCGGCCCCGTGCTTTGAAGGACGTCCCTTTTTCTTGAACCCGGTCAGCAGCCAGTTCTTTTTCTTACTGTGCCTGTGCTTCCCAGACTCTCTGACACGCGCTGCAGTGTGTTGCAGCTCAGTCATATGCTCTGCTTGGCTGCCTCCGTAGGGGTCGACGTGCTTTGATCTTCGATCTTAACTTTGATTTTGCCTGCAGTCGCAGATGATGCTTTATTCGCCATTTGTACAAGTATCAGTACAGATGCATTCGAATTCTTCCCTTCATATATGTTTTCCTGCTATCCTATACATACACATGCACATTTAGGTTCAAGCACAAGGTCAGCTATTTGTCCGGTGTCCTTGGAGCATTTTGGGGGATTAAGGACCTCGTCCAAGGCCCCTTGGCAATGTGATTATTCTGCTGTGGATGGGATTCAAACCGGTAACCTTCTGGTCACATGCACAGAGGCTGAACCCATTGAGCCACACGGCGCCCCCTGCAGGATTGCCATCCACTTGCATTACAGTAAGTTTGTAGGACTGAGGTCTAACACTGGCGCTGGAGACCCCGAAAATTCTGTCGGCTGCCAGCCCGAGTTTTAGCGTGGTCCACTTTTCCAGTCGTCCACAGAGGAGAACAGCTGCAGCCAGAAGTAGAAAGAGGAGAGAGTGCTGCCCTTTCATTTGGAATCGTCCCAGAATGATGATGATGATGATGATGACGGTGGTGGTGGTGGTGATGATGATGATGATGATGATGGTGTTGATGTGCTGAGTTCTGATGCCCTTTTCCCCAGGTGCCATAGCACCCACTGTGTCTGAACCAAACACAAAGTGAATGGGAGATATCATCAATTTTTTTTTTTTTTTCCTGCTATGCATAATGCACATCTGTGCGAGCCGTTCATGAAATTCATAAAACCTCGAGGCGCTGCGCTTTGGGAATGTACGTCTTTGGCTTCCTGTCACGCCGCTCACTAGGGGGCGTGGCTCCTCTCACTCCACAGACATCCCTCCCCCCAGGTGACCTTTTGTGCCCTGTCTGCTGGGTCACATGACAGGCTGCGATAGCTGCGGCGTCGTCTGCGGGGAATCTCTCACGCCAAAACATGTTAAAATCGGGGCTCACTGATAAGCGGAGAGTGTGTCCGATTCGTTTTATCGTGAACTGATGCTCCCTCGCCCAAGAGATTGAGTTCCTTTCCTCTCATCAGAATCCTTATCAAGTTGCGACTGAATGAATTCGACACGTGTATTGTGTCAGAGAATATATATTTAGAAGTGAGTCGCTTCCTTTTGGAAAAGACCATCTCCCCCAAAAAAAAAAATAAATAAATACACAATACCATGTTTTTGTCAACGCCTTTTTTTTTTATATATGGGTATGTTTCAGGTTTGGATTACTTCAGCAGGAGTGAGGAATATTTTACTGTCATCCTATATCCTGATGCCAAATTGTCCAGATTAGGCCAATCGGGTACGTCACAGTCAACAGGTGCTCATTTTCTATTGGCCAGAGGGATCGCCAATAGGCCAGCATCCTCTGTGTTCTACTTGGCCACCGAGTGAAGCATTGAGTGGTAGAAATGGTAGCACTCATAGGGCTTCTCCATACTAACCCCCTGGGCTTCCATGGTAGCTAGCGACAGTTGAGTTAGGACAGCGTAAGGAACCTGCGAGACGTACCTGGGGAACAGTACCTACGCGCTTAATGGCCCATCTGAGCCGTGCACTAATCTTCGGGGGGGAGTTACCCCAGCCACCAAGGAGGGTGCTCCTTTCCTCCCCTCTTCCTTTCTGGAGACAGTTATGCTAATCCAAGGTGATAGGCTTCCTCACTCTGTTTACTATACCTCTGCTTTGTCCTCTGGGGGTTCTCCTCCAATTACTCAGGCTGCTTTCCCCTGCAGGGTGTTTCGAGCGGCGCCCCCTTTCCTCTCTCCCCGGATATGCAGGTCCTCGCCTGGGGCTGCGCGGTTAGCGGTGAACCCCGGTTAGCATCGCGCGCTCGCCGTCCCGCCGGATCAGTTCGTCCCACTTTTCCGCGATGTGTTTACGACGCACGACTGTCGGCGTGTTGCGAAACGTATCAATGATTGGCGGTAAAAAACTAATGGAAAAATATGTCAGGTAGTTTTTGGTGGGGCCAGAGCGTCAGTGTCGCTGTTCTCTGAAGGCGCCCCACACAGGTGGAACATGGTGGTGCACCATCAGTCTGGACTGACAGTGCTGTATGTCTGTGGCCCATTTAACCCAGAGCTAGGGGCACCCCCCCCCCCCCCCCCCCCCCCC